TGGTGGACTGGACTAGTAGACAGACAACCACAATGCAGCGAGGGACATGCTAGGAGAGCAGTTGATATAGAATGACCCAGGAGCACAGGACAGAGAGTAAGTTAGGGGTCAAGAGAGGTGACATCTCTGTTTTGTTGTAGGCCTCAGCCTGCTGACTGAGGAGAGGGTTTTAGAAGTGTCACCATTCAAGAACCACAGATGTCCTCGGCTATGGCTGGCTAGCGCAAGGGGGCTGTCCCATGCTGAGATAAAAAGGACTTCATCCTGGGGGCCACCAGTGCCATCACTTGTGACAGCTACCTCAGACTCTGCCCATCAGCAGTTTGTCCCCTTGAGCCTGGGCTCGGCCACCACAAATGTTTCTCAGCAGCACGCTTCTGTGGAGTTGCCCATAGGTTAAAACCTCTCTGAGGTTCCGGCTCCCTCACGGAGGGAATAGGAATGAGGTGATCCTGTTCGTGTCCGGGGAAGATCACCTCGCAGATGTCGTGAGCGGCAACGGTCGCACGGGAACAGCTGGAGCAAAGGAAGAGACAAGGGGAAGAACACACAGGTTTGGGGACTAACCAGAGGCAGAGAGGGAAAGAGGGGAGCTGATTCTGGAGTCGGGTGGGGGAAAGTCAGTTTGGAGTAGGTGGGGGAAATGTGGGTGCTCCACCCCGTCCCCCGGGAGAGGGAACTGGGGATGAGCTCCCCAGCAGCTGTCCGCGCCCAGAGGGAGGAGGGCTGGGGTGTCCAAGTCCTGGAGGACTGCCCTTTTCTGCCCTCACTATCTCCACATCCTGAAAGGAGCCAAGGTAAAGCAACAAGTTCCCTGTGTCCTAACAGCAGCGCATGGATGCGGTAAGGAAAGCTGGGGAGTCAACCCTCCCTTCCGTCAGTCCCCCTGTTCAAGTCGGAGACACCTTGCCATCCCCACCCAAGAGGCAAAGTGGTCCCAGGCCTCTGGCCAGACTAGACCCAGAGGCCACCCCGATCTAGAGCAAATAAGCTGCTGTATCTGCCTTGCCCTTACTCCCAGACCCCCCAGAATTGGCTCTGTGGGCCGTGCTGGATCCTCCCCACTGCCAGGCTCCCCTGGGTCCCAGCACCACACACACACACTATCCAGTGGAAACTGTTGGGCCATGAGAGCCATTAAGAAAAACAGCCACTCCCTGCCCCGTCAGCTGCCCACCGGCTGTCTCTGCCTCCCTTGGTGTCCTGCAGGCAGGGGGCCCAGGCCCTCATTCCCGACCAGAGCACCAGCTGAGTCCAAGGCCCCCCTCTCCCCGCCTCCCCGGTTCAGGAGCAGCGGCAGTACCCAGAGAGAAGTCTCAGTGACCTCTTACTCATCCTCCCCCTTCTGGAATCAAATGACGATGCCCGAGCTGACACTGCGTTAGACTCCAGAGCAGCCCGAGCTGCTGGAGCTCTTGCCCCCAAGTACCCCAACTTCCCTAGAGCTTGAGCCCGCCTGTGGGGACAAGATTCAGCTCTTCCCGCTTCCTCCACCGGGCTGGGTGACTGTTAGGTATCCCAGCAGGGGCTTGTCCCAAAGAGAAGGGGTCTTCCTCAAGCCTTGGCCATGAGTGGAAGGAACCCCCACCACACACAGCAGGCCCTATCCTGAGAGCTAAGAACCAGGGCAGCTGGAGGGAAAGTAAGCAAAGCTGGGGAGCTCATTCTGAAAGACAGACTGGCTTGGGGAGAAGATACAGATTGTGTGCACATGTCTGAGGTCCCAGAGCCTGGGGCATTTGCAACGAGGCCTCCCTGAGGGCAACGTGCGGCATGCTCCCCTCTCCCCACCCCGCCCATCCTCCTTGCCACCCCCGAGCTTTAAGAAGCTGCGGAAGATAGGATGGGGAGAACAGATGCTAGACAAGAGACTCAGGCTTAGGAGGAAGTCGTGGAGGAGTGGAGGGAGGGAGAATGCAAAGCTTCAAGGTCCCTTGCGTGTCTGGCCTCTGGTTGTAGCACAGAGGCCCAACAGCTGTCTGCCACTGTTTGTTGAATCTCCCCGACGACGGCACAGCAGCCCTGGGGGAAAGCAAAAACAGAACCTCCGAACTGCGACTGCGGCGGGACTCCAGAACTCGGCGACCACCAAAGTGCAGCGTGGCATCTCGGTGGGACACAGACCCTCTTGAGCAGTAGAGGAGACGTGGGAGATCTGGGAACCCTGCTCAGATTCAAGGCGGAGCCTGACACTGAACCAGACAGCCCTTCACTCCTGTTTGAAGATTTTCCAGCAAGAGACACATGGCCACCAGAGGGCATCACCACCCTGTAGTGGGGCGTCCTGGGCTCCCCTTCCCCTCCCTGGAGAAACTGATGAGATGTGGAGCAGGAAGCAGGCAAGGATCTCTGAGCTCTCAGGGGAGCTGCTAGCAGCTGAATTAAACAGTCCCTGGAGTCAGGAGACCTTGGATCTCGTGGGTTCTAGTGCCTGTTCCGCTACCATCCCTCCTCCCTGGCCTCAGTTTACCTCCTTTCACTGAGTGCTTGGACTGCCTTGTATCATCACGGGGCCATGAGACCCTTCCTTTCCAGCTCTCCAACTCCAGGATCTGAGGTAATCATGCAATGAGCCTCACATTGCGTCTTCTGGGCCCGCCCTTACTCGGGGGTTTTCTGGAGCTCTGCCTGTAGGAGGGGGAAACTTGTGTGAACTTCAGTTCTCTGGTGCTGTGCCCTCACTCGGAGGCAGAAGGGCAGACTGACCTGCACATTGCCTCCACGGCAGCCTGAAGGAGGACTGTCTTAACAGGGCTCGAGACACTGGTGCCGTGATACCTGAGGCGTCCACTTCGGCTTTCAGACAAGATGGTGTCTGTGGAGTCGCCCTCTGTGATAGCTGGGGTGGTGGTCCTTCCCACAAGAGACTGTACAAGTTGCCCTTTTGCTGGTCCCTTCGGGGACAGCCGCAGGAGTGAAGAGAATAGAAACCATGGCCTCTCGCCTCCCCATCCCCCACCCCACCCCCACCCGCACCACAGATGCCGTCTGTCGGGAGCAGGCAGCAGACGGTCCAGGGGTCCATCTGTGCTCATGCTTCACAATATAGTCCCATGTTTCCCCACCAACACCCCCTCGGCCCCTCAGCTGATGGCCACTTGGTGGTGCCAAGGGGGAGGAGGGAGGGGAAGACACTAAGGGAGCTAGCTCTTGGCTCCCAGCAGTCCCCAACCCACCCTCTGTGCCCCCCCCCCACCTCCGCCACCCAACAAGCATCCTGCCATCTGGACTTGTGCTAATTACTGAAGGGTGGCGAAGCACCCCTCCCACCCACACCTCCTGCAGGGGCTAGGGCCCCAGGGGCCTGGGGCTGGGGCAGTGACATGAGTCGAGGAGACACAGAAGCACAGAGACTGAGACAGACCTGCGGACTGAGACAGGCAGGAGACAGAAAGCCCTTCCTGGCCTCTTCAAGTAGATATGGCCACTTGGCTCTCCGTACCTCTCATGCTGGCCCTCAGAACTAGCATGGGAACGCGTAACCAGACCTGGAGCCTCTGTAAGCCCAGTGCCCGGCCAGCACGTGGCCTGGAACAGGGCTGAAATGTAGGGCGAATGAGGAACTGAAGGAGACAGCATCACACGGGGTTAGGATCCCAGGCTCTGGAATCAGGCTCCCTGGGTTGGAGTCTCGGTTCTGCCACTCAGGGGCCTAGAGCGAGTTATTCAACCTCTCTGGGCCTCAGTGTCCCCATCTGTGAGGTACCTATTACATAGGCTTATTAGGAAGACCAAGTGACTTCACACATGTATGTAACGCAGCACACACACAACAATGTGAACGGCCCAGGGTTACTGCTCAATAAATGTCAGCTGTAAAGGCATAACACAGGTTTGGGAAAACCGGAGGAGAAAGGGACAGATGGGACCGTACCTCCCCAGCCTCTGTTTAGTGGCCCATGGTGGGATGTGGAGGCCCCCAGCTTGTGGTGCTGACGCCCTGTGGTGGCTAGCTGCTCTTTAGACGCCAAGACTGGCCTTCCACTTCCTCCTCTCACTTCTTATTTGGGCACCTCTGACGACAGCGACTTCAGTTGGGCCATCCCAGTCTCTCCCACTGCCTGGCAGCCACAGTAACACAGGCAGTGGGTGGGGTGGGGGGCGGGAGAGGCTTGGGGGCTGGTCCCAAAGAGAGGGTCAGAGAACGGTGGAGCACCTGCCCCAGCCCTGAGCACCCACTCAGCTCAGGCACATTCCCCTCCCCATGAGTCAACGCATAGTTAAGATCTTTCTGCTGGGAAAAGGGGTGTCTGAGCTCCAACATCAGGAGCTAGGGAAAGGCTTATCCAGGAGGGACCACTCCTGACTCTCTGAGGGGACAGGCCAGAATTACACCCACACCCATGGCTGCTGGGTTTCCACTGCTTCCCTTGCCCCTTGAGGGGGGAGGGAGCCTCTGTCACCTCTTCTCCGGCAGCTGTGCAAAGGGGATATCCTTGACCCTCACTCCCTAGGGGCTTCTGCACAGTCAGGGGTATCTCTAACCTCTTTTGGGACTTCACCCCACCCGTTGTCCATACCCCTGCACAGTGCTGCTGCCACTCTCCCCTTGCCCAAAGTCTCCTTCAGCCCCCTGGATCTCCTAGAATCTTCCCCTGAGCGTCCAAACCTCCTTAAAACCACACACACACACACACACACACACGCGCGCGCGCGCGCGCGCGCGCGCGCCATGTATCCGGGAGACCCCCTACACACACACAAACACGTCAGGTATCCGGGAGACCCCCGCCCGAGGACGTCCTGCTTCCCTCCTTCGTGGCTAGGCTTTCCCCAGTGAGTGTTCAGGTCCCTAGACTTTCCCCAGCCTGGCGGGGCGGTGAACGCCGTGGGCGGGGCTCCGGGGCAGCGGCCCCCCCAGAGGGCGGGGCCTGCCGCTCTAGGGGCGAGGCCATCCGAGGCCGCTCCCCGCCCGCCCCCCAGCCCGCCCAGCTCGCCGATCCTATAAAGGGAAGCGACCGGGGGCCCGCCCGGCTGGCACCCTCTAGCCGCAAGCAACCCCGTCGCGCGGCGCGACACCGCCTCCGAGGGTCGCCGGTCGCCGGGCGCTGGAGCCATGACCCTCCGCCGACTCAGGAAGCTGCAGCAGAAAGAGGAGGCGGCGGCCGCCCCGGACCCCGCGGCGCGGGCTCCCGACTCGGAAGTCGCTCCCTCCACTCCAGCCCGGACCCCGGCCTCGGGCCCCCGTGCTGCTGCCGCCAGCTCTGGGGCCCCCGGAGACGAGCTGTACGCGGCGCTGGAGGACTATCACCCGGCTGAGCTGTATCGCGCGCTCGCCGTGTCCGGGGGCACCCTGCCCCGCCGAAAGGTGCGTCGCCACCCCCCAACTTCCACGGCCCCCCAGCCCTCGGTACCTTCCGGTGTCTTTTCCCCGAGACTGCTCAGCCCCGCAACATCCCGCCTCTGTGCCCGTTGACCCCACGACATATTCCTCGGGGACTACCGCGTCCCCCACCTACTTCCCCAGCCCGCTCTTACCCCCGACACGTTCTGAACCTGCTGTCCCTTGGTCAGGCTCCTCGGCCTTCTCCTCCAAAGGCTTAAGCCTCCCCCGCCTCCACGCCGCCCCCGATCTCGTCGGCTCCCCACTCCGCTCCCCACGCGCAGCCGTCGCGTCTCGCTCTTCTCCTTCCCGAGCACCCCCTTCTCCTGCTCACTCCATCTGGCTTTCTGCACCCTTGTGCCCCGCCTCCCGCGCCCAGGTGTCTCGAGGCCCCCGGGACCCTTCGCCTGGGCTTCTCCAGTGGAGCGCGGAGGCCTAGGGCTGCGTCCCGCCACTCGCCGGGACATACTGAGGGTCTCAGAGCCCGGGTGGGGGGAGAGGGAGGCGGGTGGACGAGAAAGTGCGTGCGGCGCGGCGGACTCCCGAGAGCTCACCCTTCCGAGGGGACGCCCGGATTGCTGGGCTCCGGGCCTGCGCCTTGCCCCGCGACGGAGGTGCAGGGCGCGAGGGCACGGCTCCCGGGACTTCGCCGCGACCGGACGCGGTGGGAGGGGTCGCAGGGCGCCCGCGGGGCAGGAAGGATGCGAGCCGCGCCCGCCCTCCGAGTCGCCCCCTCTGCGGGGCTCTTCCTCTGGCCTGTGGGGACCTGAGCGCTCAGAAGTCAGGACACAGACCCAGGTTGGGGGGGGGGGGGCTGGTGGCCTTTCCCCGTTCAGCACGCCCCCCACCTCCCCGGCCCTTGGCTCCCCCCCCCATACAATGAACAGCTTGTTGAGAATTTGCATTTTATGAAAATCGGGTTGAAAGACAAAGGGGTCTCTCTCTATGCTGCCCAGTCCTTCCACCCTGGCCCATTTGGGAACTGCCCCCACCCCTGAGGCCAGTCTTCGGTTCTGGAAAAAGAGGGCTCACTTCTCTTCCTAGCCTTGGGGCAGCCTGGGGGGGAGGGTTAACTAGGGCCCGACCTGGAAGGCCCTGGGCTGTTTAGGGATCGTGGGACAGGGGCTGGTCTGGCACAGCCTCTTCCAAGGGCCAATAATTTAGGGAAGGAGAGAGACTAGTTGCTCCAGGGTCCCAAGAAAGCAGGAATCTTCAGCTCTGACAACCCCCCCACCCCCCCCCAAAAACCCTCCCAGTCTCTCTCCTAAGTATAGTGAGACTTAAGGACAAGTTTGAGGTCTGGTTTTTGTTTCTTTTGTCCAAGAGTGCAACAAAATATATGGCAACGTGGAGAAACCCAGGTGGAGCTGGGTGCAGCTGGCCACCTACCGCTGGGATCCACAGTTGGTCCCTGAAACGGCCTGTAGTTTGGGGGAGGAGGGGTGGCCCAACTGACCCCTGACTTTTCATGTTCAGGCTGGAACTGCTGGCCCTCCAGACCTGGGTCTCTGACCCCAGCTCCCCCAAGTCTCTGTTTGCGACTGAGAAAATAGGAGGAGATGCCCAACTAGTGGTGGTGGTGGGGAATGTCTCTGGAGTACCTTGATAAGCAAGCCCAGGGTCCCCCTGCCCTTCTTTGGGAACATCTGGAAAGAGCCCCTATCTCAGCTTTCAGAGTCTGAGGGCTCTGAGTCCTGCAGACATGCACCCTGAGGGTAGAGACTATTCTATCTAGATTAATGAGTCCCCCTTTTCCCCTCTCGCCATCTGGGCTAGCACAATGCTTAGAAGTCTGTGCATCTGGAACCCGGTAGGACCGTTGTGTTCCCACAGTCTCAGTTATGGGGTAGAGCCTTAGGGAGAGCTCTGTGGGGTGATGCCGCAGGGGCGCTTGGCGAATAGTTACACTGGCCCCAAAGCACGTATGGAATTGGCACCAGACAGGCAGGCGACAGGAAGTGAGGTGCTAGGTCCAGGGCTGGAGCCCAGGGGAGGGACCTCCCAGAGTAGGACTGTCAGCATGGGCTCGAGGACAGTCCCCCTCACCTGCTCCTTCCTCTGTATCTGCCCACCCAGGGCTCAGGATTCCGCTGGAAGAATCTTGGCCAGAGTCCCGAACAGCAGCGGTGAGTCGCCAGCACCCCAGCCCCTGCTCTGGTCCCCAAGGGTCAGGTGGGCTGGGGGTGGAGAGCAGCAGGACACAGCTCTCGGCCCAGTGGGAGTCATTCTCTCAGCAGGCTTTCCTCGCTAGGAGTGAGGGGCAGGTGGGGGCGTGGGCTGTGTTAAGGGGGTGGCAGAGAAAGGAGGTAGGGATTCTTAGTCATCAGGTGCTCCTCATGCCACCCCCAGTCCTGCCAGTTACCCCTCCCCACAGAGATCCAGATCTGGGAGGTGGAGGAATTGGAAGTCTTCGGGGGGCTCCCCTGAGCTCTCCTGGTCCCAGCCCACCCTAGGGCCCAGACCCTAGCCCGGCTGGCGTCCTGCTGTTTGAGTCCAGCGACCCCTGCCTCCAAGAGCTTAGTCCTCTGCTGCCCCCATCCTGGGGCCAGGGCTGAAGTAGGCGCCGACCTCAGGCCCTACATTGCTCAGTCCCATGCAGACTGGGGCCTGGCTGCTAAAAGGAATCAGCAGACGACAGCCTGCTAGCCAGATTGGCCTGTTGGACCCCTGAGCTAAGAGTTGTTTTTCTAGTTCTAAAGGGTTGTAAAAATAACAACAAAGAACAATCTATGACAGGGGCCAAATGGAGCCCGCAAAGAAAGCCTAAAATATGTACTATCTGCCCTTTGCAGAAAAAAAGTTGGCCAACACTTGCAGAAACCCAGAGAGCGCTGGGGTAACACACAACTTCAGTCACCCTATTCCTCGGCCCAACGCACAACACACACAGTGAGGGGAAAGGCCTTCTTTCCCAGTGGGGAGGAGCTCAAGTTAGGGCTGGGAGTTGCTGGTCAGCATTTGGGGGCATCTGGGTCAAGCTGGGAGCTGTGGGCCTGGGTCTCCAGGGCCTTTCTGAGGCCAGAGACTTGAAGGGGCCTCTGGAGGCTGCTTTCACTGCCTCTGGCGGGGCGGGAAGGAAGGGGGTGGGGGTGGGCAGAGGAAACTCTGGGCTCCCTCAGCAGGCGAGGATCTGGAGCGGCTCCAGACCATTGTGTCCAGTGGGCAGGCCTTCAGTGCGGGAAGGGGCGGCCTTGAGGTTCCCCTCCCCCCAGCCTCACATCTGGTGGGCTGGCCAGCTGCAGCTGGGAGGAGCAGCTGTGGTCTGGGCTGAGCCTCGTGACTGGCCTCCAGGGGTGGGGCCAGCCCTCTCCCCAAGGCTGCCGTGGTGAGGCTCAGGGCTGGGGCCCGAATTCAGGGCCTCAGCGAGTCAGTGAGTGGTACCCTAGGGCTTGCTAGAAAGCTGGAGGAGTGGCTCAAAAGCTCAGAGAGTCCATTCCCTCTGGGGGCCAGCCATTTCCAGTGCCTCCCTGCCCCAGAGGCTAGATTGATTCTCTGTGGCTCCATGAAGCTGATCTGGACTGGGGATTGGGACGGGCATTCCAGCAACCCGTGATGAGAGTGGGTTGTGGCTGGAGACCGATGAGTCCTGCCTGGGTGTTCTAGAGCAGAACCCACCATCAGTGGAAGGCCACACTATGGGACCAGCAAGTTCCTTTTCATCGTGACAGTCCTGAAATGGCCCCTGTGTCCCCTTGCAGGAAAGTGCTGACTTTGGAGAAGGAAGAGAACCAGACCTTCGGCTTTGAGATCCAGGTGGGAGAAGCTGGGTACCGAGGGAGTGAGGGATCGGGAGGCCAGGGATGGCTGGCCCCTGCCACAGCCCTGGTGGATCGTCCCCTTGTCTCTGACAGACTTACGGCCTTCACCACCGGGAGGAGCAGCGCGTGGAGATGGTGACTTTTGTCTGCCGGGTTCATGAGTCCAGCCCTGCCCAGCTGGCTGGGCTCACACCAGGTGAGGCCTGAGCCCAGGACACAGGGCTCCGGGAAGGTAGGATGACCTTACTCCCAAGCAGAGGGGCTGAGAAATGTCTTCTGAAATCAATTCCCCTTCCTCCTCCTGTTTTGAGAAGGCCAAAAAGAAGAATGGATAGAATCGGGGCACCTGGGTGGTTCAGTGGGTTAAAGCCTCTGCCTTCAGCTCAGGTCATGATCTCAGGTCCTGGGATCGAGCCCTGCATTGGGCTCTCTGCTAGGTGGGGAGGCTGCTTCCTCCTCTCTCTCTGCCTGCCTCTTTGCCTGCTTGTGATCTCTCTCTCTGTCAAATAAATAAATAAAATCTAAAAAAAAAAAAAAAAAAAAAAGAATGGATAGAATCTAGGCTTTGGATCCAAGCAAACATGCCATTTACTGTGTGATATCGAGCAGTCCCATCTGCAAAATGGGGGCAGTAACATGCCTGGGGTTTCCCCAGGCACAGAGCCAGGACCTGGTTAATGGCAGATGTTGCTGCGGCTGTTTTCCTTCCTCCTGGCAATCTGGCCATCCAGCCCAGGGCAGGAGTTGGGAAAGGGGCTACGTTCCTTTAGATCTGCTTGGTATTGGAGATCAGGACGGATCCCACACCGACCTGGCCCAACTCTGGGGAACCGGTGCTCCTTCCTCTAACAAGGAAATGATATGATGCTTCCAGTAGGGAACCCTTGGGATTGGCCAAATCTAGAGCCCCAGGTCCCAGGGAGGGGATTGAGACCCTATGAACTCACTGCCCCTCCCCCGATTCAGTTACCACTTTCTTCCCTGAGCTGCACCTCCGTGCCCACTCACCAGCAGCCCCTGCTGGCCAACTGGTATACTTCAACTTTGCACAATACCTTCACATCCACTCTCCCTGCTTATCCCAGAAGTAGCCACCACAGGGATCCACGCCCCCTTTTTTACAGATGGGAAGTGGGCCCTCGGAGAGGGTGGCTTCCCCTGCCTCAAGTCGGGAGGTTCTTTGGTGGCTGAGGCTCTCAGAAGCTGAGGCCTCTCATGCTGGGGTGCTGGTGTCAGGTCCCAGCTCTGTGCTGCTCATCCTGACCCCTCCCTTTTGGCTGAGTCTCATGACCCCGTGGGGGCTAGACAGAAGTAACCAGCTCCCAGGGCAGCCCAGGGTATCTGAGAGGGCTCAGCCTTTGGGGACAGTTTCCTGAGGGTGGGGTGAAGGTGTGGGCATATGAGGGCCTGACCCCTGCAGCGGGGTTGCTGGACCAGGACGAGGTTTCCCCCACAACCATGAGGTGTGGCTGGAGGGAGCTCATGAGCATTCTGTGGGGTTCTTACCCTGACCCTTTCCGGCTCTGGTAGGGGGCTAGAATTCTTCGGCTGTGCCTCAAGGAACAGATACTGACCCCCCTCTCTGCCTGGCAGGGGACACCATTGCCAGTGTCAATGGCCTGAACGTGGAAGGCATCCGGCATCGAGAGATCGTTGACATCATTAAGGCATCTGGAAACGTTCTCAGGTAGGTCCGGGTGCCACGGTCCCTGAGGATCCCCCGAGTTCAGCTTCTCTCAGTTTCCACACCCTGTGGGTTCACACAGCCTTTGATTCCCCAACCTCCCCAGGCTGGAAACTCTATATGGGACGTCAATTCGGAAGGCGGAATTGGAGGCCCGTCTGCAGTACCTAAAGGTAAGAGAGCCCGGATAATGGCCCCCTCCGCCCTCTCCTCCCCCAGCCCCTGCCCCTTCCAGCATCAGTCTTCCTAGGGGCCTATTTACCTGTCCAAACCTGCTTTTAACCTTAAGATCTCTTCTGTGTCCTGCCCGCCCCCTCGGTCTGTCTCTTCCCACCTCCTGCTTTCTTGCTATCTGCTGACAGGGGGCGGGGGGGTGTCTCTTGCAGCAAACCCTGTATGAGAAGTGGGGAGAATACAGGTCCCTGATGGTGCAGGAGCAGCGGCTGGTGCACGGTGAGTGAAACTCGCCCCCACCCACACCCCCCTTCAGTAACGCTCCCCCTCAGAACTAGAGCGTTCCTTCCCTCTCCTAGGTGGAGAGAGGTTACTACTCCGGGCACAGCGCTGCCCTGGGCTACTACACTGCACACGCATTCTGAGTTCATTCTCATGATGGCCTTTGACAAAGCCTTAGTATCTCCATTTCACAGATGGGAGCGGCGAGGCTCATTGAGCCGGTTTCAAATACCTTCGGCGCCCTTGCGCCCCGTCCCGGCCGGTCCTCCTAAGGACTTGAGTGGAGAATCCTGTTTTATAGAGGAGGGAAGTGGGGCTTAGGCCAGGGGACCACACGGATGGTCAGATGGTCCGGAGGAAGGAGCAGAGGTCCCCTCCCCGGGCGCTCTGACGGCCCGCCCTCTTGTCCTCTCTTCCCTGTCAGGCCTGGTGGTGAAGGACCCGAGCATCTACGACACGTTGGAGTCGGTGCGCTCCTGCCTGTACGGGGCAGGCCTGCTCCCGGGCTCCCTGCCGTTCGGGCCCCTGTTGGCCGCGCCCGGGGGTCCCCGCGGGGCCGCGCGGCGGGCCGGGGGCGACGCGGACGACGCAGTCTACCACACGTGCTTCTTCGGGGGCGCCGAGCCGCCCGCGCCGCCGCCACCGCCCCCCGCCCGCGCTCCGGGCCCGGGCCCCGCCGAGGCTCCGGCGTCCACGCCCCGGGCCGCTCTGAGCCGCAGCGCCAGCGTGCGGTGCGCGGGCCCCGGGGGCGGCGGTGGCGGCGGCGGGGCGCCGGGCGCGCTCTGGACTGAGGCCCGGGAGCAGGCCCTGTGCGGCCCCGGCCTGCGCAAAGCCAAGTACCGCAGCTTCCGCCGGAGGCTGCTCAAGTTTATCCCCGGACTCAACCGCTCGCTGGAGGAGGAGGAGAGCCAGCTGTAGGGGCGGGGCGGGTGGGAAAGGTATTTATTTATTTATTCGATCCAGCCAGTGCAGAAAGGGGGCGAGGGGAGGGGCGGGTGGGCGGGTACACGCCCCCCCCCCAAGGGACCCCAGGAGCCCAGCGCAGCGGGAGAGGGTCCTTGCCAGCGCCAGTCGGTCTGCTGGTGCCTGGCTGTCTCTGCGGAGCGCTGCTGAGCCCGGGGCTCCAGATTCCTTTTCAACTCATCCTCCCCTAAACCACAGTGGGAGGTGGGGCGGGGAGAACCAGGCAAGCTGGGGATGGGAGAGGTTTGGGGGCGTTCATCCTACATCTGGGTCAGTAGTGCCTTGTGGGGTGTCCAGGAAAACCCCTCTGGAGGGGAGGAACCCTGTCCCGCGAAGCCCTCTCCTCAGCTTTACTTGCTCCTCACCCTTGGCCTGGGGGAGAAATTGCCTCCCGTCGGTCGTTCCCCTACCTTCCAGACACATGCACAGTTCCAGTTAACCAGCGGGCCCCTGAAGAGGCCTAAGGTGCTGGGCCCCCTCCTTCCCGGCCTCGACCCCTAAGGGCTTGGCCCCTCCCAGGGGCCTGTAACTAAGTTGGGTCCTGCCGGGCAGGGGTCCTGGGTTCTCTGCCCCTTGGGGGACAGGAGTGGGCGTGTCCAGGTGGGATGGGGGCAGCCCAGACTGTTCCACCGTTTTGCATATTGTTGCTTCTGAACCACAAACTGTATAAAATTGACGGTTTTTTGCATCTGTTGTCAGCGTGGTGACTACCTGGTGGTGGGGTGGGGGGGCAGGACGGGGCTCCAGAAAGCTCTGACTCTACCACACACCCCTCCCTCTAACACACACGCCTCCTTGCGCGTGCATGCACACACACGCGCGCGCGCGCACACACACACACACACCCCCTTACACTGTATTTTACATCTTATTGCTTGGAGACTGCAGCCAGGGGCATAGTCTGGGGGATCTTGACTTCCACGTATGAACCTGAGGAAGAGGCCCCACCCCCTCTTCAGAACTTGGGCTTCTGGTTGTCTTGAACTTCCCTTCCTAAATCCTCACAACAGGGGGGTGGCCAAGGCTCCTCTCAAGGACTTAACTATCCCTATGCTTGGAACCCTCTTGGTGCTGGGCCTTGGTCTCCCACAGAGGAGGCCTCAGCAGCCAGCCCCCCAACCTGTGACAGGCCTAACCACTGACCACTCCATTGTTCTAGAATGCCTCACTGTACTCCTAAAATAAGATTCTGACTCCCATGCTGGGTTGTCTGACACCCCCGCCTGCCTAGTTTCTTGTCTCCTCGCTTCCTTCTCTGGCCCCTTCGCTATATCCGGAACGCTTCAGATCCCACCTGCTCGAGCCCTCTGCCTTCACTCTTCCCATAATTGGCCCCCTCAGTCCTCAGCTCTGCCTCCCAAAGGACTCCCCACCCAGTCGAAAATACAGTCACACCTTCCCCTGTGGCAGAGCCCTGGCTTTTTCTGTCCTACCACTCATCACCCTCTGTAGTTGTCTTGACTTCTGTGGAGTCTGGTATTGGCCTGGCCTGGCTCCCTGTGACAAGGCACACTCCTCACAGCAGCCCTCCGGGGACCTTTCCTGTCTTCTTGCCACTTTCGTTCTTGCCTGCTACTAGCTCACAGTCAGACCCCAATAACGACAGCACGTGCTCACAGCATCTCTGCGAGGTGGACCATTCTTTAAGGACACCCAAGGCAAGTGACCCATCTAAGGTCACGAAGAAAGCAAGGAGCTAGGCCTGAGACGTGAGACTCCTATGCCAGTGCTTGCTGGCAGTGACCAGCATACAAGGGCAGCTTTAAGGGGTCTGAGTGGCACCTTACCCCAGCCAGGCCATCTCCTACCCTCACAGTCCTGCATGGAACTGCACTTGCCTCCTGAATGGGCTCCCTGCTTCCTCTCTTGCCCCAGGCCCATCCCCTCACCTAGTAGTGTGGGCTCCATCTTTCTGAAAAGGAAATCCAATCATAACCCTCCTCACTTAAAACCCGTCACGGCGTCCCCTGGAATAAAAGAATAAAATCCAAACTGTTGCCTATGGCTTATCCATAACATCTTGTCCTTCTGGGCAGACAAATGACAAAAAGACATCCCTTCCTCTGAGCTGACAGCAGCCACACAGGCCCAAGAATGTGGTAACCAGGAGACTTTGTGCAGTGCACAACATCTGCGAGCGAGCGTACTGGGATGCCCTGCAGGAGGCCCTCCGGGGTCAGGTCTCTATCTCTCTCTTCAAGCTCAAATTGTTTCTCCTTCCATGTCACTTCTCCTGTTCAAGCCACACTGTTCTTCCTAGTTTAATTCCTCAAATATGCCCAGCCCTTTCTTGTCTTCGCCTTTGCCCACCATGTGCTCTCTGCCTGGACTACTCTTCTTTACAAGACTGATTTCTTCATCCTCCGGCTTCAGCCTAAACACTTCCTCACAGAGCTTTCCCAGATCAGATCAGTAGTTTCCTGTCCTCATCATTCTTTATCTTGAGCCCTCTAGTTTTTGTTGTTGTTGTTTTTTGGTTTTTATTTCTTTACAGCACTTACTCCCCATTGGTAATTATATGACTTCTCTTGTACAGATAGGTCTTCTGCCTCCCTAGGGCAGGAAACTCAGCCTTGTTTACATTGTACCTGGGGGGCCTAACACAGTGAGGTACACAGCAGGTGCTTAATAAACAGGAATGCTTCCACTGGGCGGACCAGCAGAGAGGTGATCACCACCTCCCTCTCCGCCTCCCTCCCCCCCACCCCTTGTTCTCAGCCCTGGGGTCGGAGTGATGAAGAGGCCCCTCTCTGCTCCAGCTGATGCTGGCACCTGTGGGCCCCTCTCATGATATCCCTTTGGGGCTAGGCGTCAGCCCCAGCCCAGGCACCTGCACCTGGCTACCTTGCCCTCCCTGGTTCCATGGGGAGGGAGAACATTTGATTAAGAAAATGGAGCTTCCCCAGGCTCCCTGTTTGAACAGCTGCTCAGTAGCCATGACAAACAGCAGCTCCCAGAGGCTCAGGTCTTGGGGAGGGGCCCTTCCCTACCTTTGTTCCCAGAGCCCAGGACTGCCAGGGGACCAGCTGCCCCAGCAAAGCCTAGCACCTTGCTGGGGGCGGGCTCTGCAAGGGCTTTCTCCTCCCAGCAGAGATACCCAGCCCCTCTGTGACCAGCCTCTTCCTCCCCTCCTCCCCTGCATCTAGTCTCAGGAGTGATGTCCTGTAGCCCTCACCCAGGTCGAAGGGGACTCCTGGTCACAGTGTGCACAGAGGAAGGTGAGGGGGTGCCCAAAGGGGGGCTGAATCCCACCTCACAGATGATGGGATGACGGCACCAGCACAGCAGCCTCCTGCCGTGTAGGTGGGTGACAGGGAGTGACTAATGTGCGAGCTGCGATGCTAAAAATTAACCCAGGGATCGTGTTTGGTGGAGGGTGGGGGTGGATGGGAAGGGAGCAGGGACGTGGAATAGTGTGTGGCTGGTATTCCCCTGCCCTGCCTCCCTTCCTTCTCCTTCGTCTCCCACCAGCCTTCTGGTCCTCTCAGTGCCTCAGGGGACTCTGGGAGACCTTTCCCATCCCCAAGCCAGAAGGGACCCCGAATAATTCCAGGGAGAAGAGTAGAGGCCACTCTAGGTCTTGTGCATGGTAGAGTGAGGACACAGCCTTGCAGGTGGAGCTCTGGTCTGAGGTCGCTACAGAGCCCTGCACCTCTCCCCATCCCCCTGGCATGGTGGCTGCATGCCCCTGAGCTCCCTGGTTCTCCTTGCTCAGCCCTGGCCAGAGCTCTGCTCAGGAGTGGAGTGGGGGAGCAGAAAGAGCCAGTGCACAGAGACAAGGACAGGCTTCCATCGGCAGGTGGAGTTGGGGTGCGCTGTACCTGAAGGAAAGGACAAGGGACTATCTCCCGGAGCACCTCTAGGTACCAGCACTGTGTGAAACACTTCCAGAGCTTTCGACCACTCAGGCCTCACAGCATATCTGAGAACCATGTGCCACTGTCCCCGTTTTACAGATGAAGAAGAAGCTAAGAGTTGGAGAGGTTAAGGTAGCATAGCTGGTACCTGGCAGAGTTAGCATTCCCTCGTATAGGTTTGTCTCTAGAACCTGGACTGGGCAGAGGGAAGACTTCCTGTATGAGGACGGATGTCAAGATGGTAAAGAACCGTTTAGAGGAGCTGAGCCTCTAAGGCTGTGGGGAGGGAAAGTGGGAGCATGGAGGGTGGATGAAAGTGGGACCTGAGGGAATAGAGTCTGATATGTGCCAGAGAGCAAATGAAGATCAGGTCCAGAAGGATCAAGGCTCTATGTATGTGGGTGTTGTGCTGGAATGAGGTGAGAACCTTCTCATCAAAAGATTGAGGGGCTCTTGAAACTGGGCTCTGGGGGCCACACAAGGGCTTGGGCTTGGAGAAGAGCTTTGTTGACCCACGTAAGAAAAGACATTAGAAGGAGTAATCCAGAAACACTTCCATTTTGCTTGGAGACAAAACCATAGAACTTGAGCTGAATGGTGGCAGAAGAGATAAGATAGGAGAAGGCACTTTCTGCTCAACAATTAGTCACTCCCCAAATCGGGGAAGTGAGAGGCTGCAGGACTCCCCAAAGGTCAGGAGAAATGCCAAGCTGTCTAGTTGGGAGGCTGTCTGCCCCTGCATTTGATGGCTGGATGGGGTGGCCTAAAGAAGGGAGGGCTGGGCTGAGACAAGTGAGAGAGAAAGGAGCCTGGGGCAAGGAGAAGGCTGGAGACCAAGGAGGGCTCCTCCAAGCCAAGAAAGAGCCAAAAAATGAGGACACCGCAGAGTAGAGCAGGCGTGCCTGACCCCTAGTGGTGACCTCGGAACACTGCATCTCTCTCAGCCCTAACCTTACCAGCAGGGGACCAAGCAGAAGTATGGTGCCCCGTCAGCCAAATGCGGGAGGGTAGCTCTCCCTCCTTAGAGCCCACCTCTCCAGAACTTCCTCAGCCCTGCCCCACACTCACAAAGTGGAGCCCCCTCTGAACCACACAACC